ATCAGCTAGGCTTCAGGGCAGAGACACTAAGAATTAATATAAGAGAATTGATCTGGAACCCACAGACTAGTAGACGAAGATCAAAATACTTTTCATTCACAATGACTCCCAATTTGAAGAAACTCACTTACCAAACATTTTCGGTTGTGGTGGTGGACTTTCTGGGGATTGAACCCAGGATTCCATGTATACTAAACAAGCATTCTACCACTGCTTCACTGCCCCTGTCAGCTCATCAGTTTGGGGGAGGTGGGGTGGCAGGGATGAGACGGAGAGTGGGAACAGAGGCAGAGCTAGTGTCTCTATGGCTCAGGCTGGGCTGGAACTTGGGATGCACTGCATCTGCCTCCAGTGCTGAGATTATAAGCATGCACCCCACACTCAGGTCTCAAGCTTCATCTCTATAAAATGAGAAACTATTTCTTTTAAATAAGATGGCCTTCTTTAGCAGTCAGGAATAGGAAATCAAAACCCACACTGCACACCCAGGATGGGTGACTTACAACCAAAAAAATATTTAGCCAGGCCTGGTCGCACCTATAATCCTAACACTCCAGGAGGCTAATGCAGGAGGATAACCATAAGGTCAAGGCCAGCCTGAGCTATATATCTTATGTCCCAAGACTGTCTGTGCTACTTAGTAAAACTCTTGTCTCAGAACAAAGTAAAACAAGACAGAAAGACTGTACCTTTGGGAAGACATGGATGCTGGTGGAAATATTAGCTGGTGGGGCAGTTTTGGAAAACAAGCCAGCAAACAGTTGCTCAAAAGGTTAAACAAAGTTTCCATATGGAAGCCAAAGGAAACTGATCCACATGCCCACCAAAAACCATGTATGAAATGTTCATACCAACATTATTCACAATAATTTTAAAAAAACTCAAATATTAATCCACTAACTATGTTTTATGTCCCAGAATATTAATCAGCCACAAAAAAAAAAAAAAAAAAAAAAAAAAAACCAGCAGAGCCAGGTGTGGTGGTGCACATTTAATTCAAGCAGATGGAGGCAAGGGGTAGAGGCAGAAGGATCAAAATTTAAGGCCAGCCTTGGCTACCTGAGCTAATAGGAATCTGAGCTTGTCTGCTCCTATCCCATCACACAAACACCTTACTTCTCTCCCCCCCCATTAGACTACCGCAGAGCACAGACAACCACTCGAGCAGCAGAGGAGACGAATGGAATGTGGCTTGGAAAACAAATACTCTCTTCCTTTCTCTGAACCTTGGTTTCTCATCTGTAAAAATCAGGTTATATTGAAAAAAAATTGCCAGGTGGTGGCGCACACCTTTGATCCCAGCACTTGGGAGGCAGAGGCAGAAGGATCTCTGTGAGTTTGAGGTCAACTTGGTCTATAACAGCTAGTTTCAGGACAGGTTCCAAAGCTACATAGAAACACTGTCTCGAAAAAAAAAAAATCAGGTTATATGGTCTCTGAGTATGCTTCCCTGTATGGCATTCTGTGGCCTTAAAGTTCCAATTTTATCCAGGTGCAGTGGCACACACATAAATCCTAATTCAAGAATGGCCTGAGCTTCCTACATAGGAAGTCAGTGGCAAAGACCTCATTTTCAAAAACCAAAACAATTCTAATCTCACTTCTTGGTACATATAAGAATTATCTATCACCTGGCAAGTCCTCTGCTCTAGATTTTCTAGGTAGACTTTTCCCTGTCTTCAAAAGGTGGCACTGAGGGTGCTGGAGAGATGGCTCAATGGTTAAGAGCACAGCTACTCTTCCAGAGGTCCTGAGTTCAATTCCCAGCACCCACATGGCAGCTCACAACTGTCTGTAACTCCAGTTCCAGGGGATCCAGCATCCTCATACATATGTACGTAGGCAAAACACCAATGTAAATAAAATAAATTACCTTTTAAAAAGGTGACATTCAGAGATTATTTCAGTGTGTTTTTTCAATATGGTGCCTTTTTTTGTATGTTTTTTGAGTTGTTTTTTTTTCCCCCCCCAAGACAGGGTTTCTCTGTGTAACAACCCTGGCTGTCTTGGAACTTGCTCTCTAGACCAGGCTGGCCTCGGCCTCGAACTCACAGAGATCTGTCTGCCTCTGCTTCCTGAGTGCTGGGATTCAAAGTATGTGCCACCGCCTTTTTTTAACACGACTAACTTCTCTCAGCCCACATTGACCTTTCCTGTCAGAGCAACTCCTCACTGCATATCCAGACGTCTATGATCCTTGACTATCAGCGTAAAAAGGAGTGTAAAATGACTTTTTGTCCCTAATTTTCATTTTTACTTTCTGCTTTTAAAACAGGTTTTCACTATGCAGCCAGGCTGGTCTAGAATTCACACCCACCTGTCTCTACCTTCCAGATGACAGAATTACTTGGAAGCATTTTTAATTTTAGTTTCCTTTTTTTTTTTTTTTTTTTTTTTTTGAGACAGAAGTCCCAAGTAGACCAGGATTAACTCAAACTGGCTAAGTAGAGAAGGATGACCTTAAATTTCTAGCTCTCCTGCATCTCCGGCATCTTGAACCTTCTCCATGCTAGGATTACAAATGTGGACCACCACACCTGGCCTTGTTTAAGCATCTTTGATTTGCTTTTTCTGGAAACAGCTTCTTTTGAGTATTTGAGAACTACCAGAGAAATAATACAACTTAATTGGGTTGGAAAAAAAGAACACAGGTTCCTCTCAGTGCCTAACCAGAGAATCTGAGCGCGATTCCTAATTTCATATAGTTTCACGGACTATGACATCACCAATTTGGGAGCAATCAAGCAAGCTAAGGAGAGAAAATGCACCCTAGGGAGTCTCAGCATGGACTGCAGAGTTATTTGTATTCTGTTTGCTGTGCTCCAAGAGTCCCTGTGGGTCATCCAGATTCCCCAATCAACCCACCAGAAATGAAAAGGGTGAAAAAAAAATCCCTCAGTGTTCTAACAAAGGCATTACACCACTGTAACCAGTTTAAAAATACACAAAATTCCCTTCTTACACATTTTCTCAGCTCAGGCCTCTCTCCCAATAAGCCTGCACACGGATATAATTTTAGCTTGCTGAGAAGCCAGATAATTAACAGGTATTCATAAAGAGAGAATATTTCTTCTTTAGTGAAAGACAATGGTTTTTTGAACTTCAGTTTAAGTTTTCAGTAAAAACTTTTTAGTTACAGTGCTAGTTAATTTGCTCCAAGCACAAATATTTTCCTTTTCTAGTTTCTTTTCTTTCTTTCTTTCTTTTTTTTTTTTTTTTTTTTTTTTTTTGGACCTGAGAATGACCTGGAACTCCAGATCCTGTTTCCACCTCCCAAGCGCAGGAATCTCACAGGTTTATGCCACCCCTTAAGGCTGTGTTTATTTTCTAAAACCAAGTATCTCCACAATTTAACAGACATAGAAATAACAATAGTTATTCTGCCTTTGCGCTTCATCCGGAAAACTGTTATTCTTCTCAGACATCCAGAAAAACTGTTCTTTTTACTCTTCTCAACATGTTAGTTTGCTTTTCTTTTTGGCCAGAGTCTCACTACTCAGCCCTGCTGGCCCTAAACTTGTAGCACTCCTCCTGCTTCTGCCTCCCAAGTGCTGGGATTACAGAAGCACACCACCAATGGTGACCACATTAGTGTTTTCTAAAGACCTCCAGAGGGGCCATTGTATACACAAACTGGTACCAAAAAAGCACTGGACCAAGCATCAAGAAATATAAGCCCTGCTCTCCTTCTGGGCCTCATTTTCCTCTCAGATCCCCAGCACCAAGACCTAGTACGGAATTCCAACAACTACATCATCCAAGGTCTAAAGTTAATACATATGAAACAGATGACAACATCCATCTGTAGTAAGAATTAGACGACAGAAAAAAGTGAGCTTGGAATACTAAAGTTGCCCCAACAGGAGGCTCAGCTAGCATCAATCCATTACTACTTCATAATTTTTAATAGAGTTCAGTTTCTCATGTTTTAAAAAGACAAGCCATTTTTGTCATCTGAAGTGTGCACTTAGTCTTTTGTGGGTTTGTTTTTTTTTTTTTTCCCAGAAGCAATACCGGAATTTTTATGGTGACAAAAAAAAAAATTGCAAAACTGTCCTAGCATCTCTTAAGCAGTGTGAAATTAGTCAACAGGATGGTCACTTTCGAAAGAGAAACTGTATGGCGCTGTGACCACATCGTGACAGCTGGGGAAAGGAGTTTCCCTCATCAAATGGGCATGACATAACTTTAAAGTCTAACACAACAAGCCTCCACCCACTAAAACCTCCTTACTGGCCACTCCAGACAAAAACTTTTCAAAACTGTTGCACCTTCAAGGTTTCGGTGAGGGCGCGGAGGAATTCACCGGGGGTTTTATAATTCTTGCACCTTCAAGCAATGGGTGCCAAATCTCGTCACCGCCTCACAGTCACTTCCCCACCACTTCCCCTTTGAAAGATAACACGAGAGGCATCAAAACACAGCACAACCTGTCCAACGGAGACGTCGCCCTTTATTCACGAATGACCCTCGCCTGGTAAAGGACATAACTTTCATAAAAAGGCATGACCCCCAGATACAAGTTCTTTTCTAGCGCCAAGGGAGAAATCATTCTCGGTGTAACTCAAGTTCAATGTGTCCCTTCATGTCTCATCCAGAGGGGCAGAGCTGTGGAGGGAAAGCCTGGCCTGCTCAGGAGTTATAACGGTTTTTAAGGAACTGGTATCACGGGTTTCTAGGGAAGAGGCCAGAGAAGCTCACCAAGTTTTTGTTTTGCTCTTCTGAAAAGTCTGGGTGGGACTAACTCTCCCTAGGACGTCAGCTAACTTCTACCCTCGCGAAAGGGGGCTGGAGCTCGCTCCCCTTCACTCTGCACTACACCGCTCGACCTCCTGGGTGTACACAGTGTTCGCGTCTCCGCGGGTCGCCGACGCCGTGACCACCGCGCGTGGGGCAGCAGGCCCGCGGGCCCCGCGTCCCGTCCCCTGGCCCGACCCTCGCAGGGCTCCCGGGACAAAGCGGGGCCCGTGGGCACCGGCCCGGGCTCGGCGCGCACTCACCCGACAGCTCGTCCGGCTCCAGCCCGGTCTCGGTGTCCAGCCCGCAGATGACAAAGTAGTCGGCGAAGCGACTGGGCGCCGAGCCCCCTCCGCCACCGCCGCTCATGGCGCCGGGCCGAGCCGGGCGAGCCGCGCGGAGCCGAGCCCCCGCCCCCGGCCGCCCGCCCGCCCGCCCTCGGCCGCCGCTCCCGCCGCTGCCGCCGCTACCGAGGCTCGGGCCGCCGTCCCCGGGCCTGGCCGGGTCCCAGCGGCCGCCGCTGCCGTGCCGGGGCAGGGGGGCGCTGAGCCACCCCGCGCCGCATCCTGGACACTGCCCTCCGCGTCGCGGCCCGAGCAAGCCTGAGGAAGGGCGGAGAGCGGCTCCCCGCCCCACCGCGGCCCCCCACCCTCCGCCGCCCCGTGCGCAGGCGCGGTCGGGGAGGGGCGGGCGCCGAGCGCAAAGGATGACGTGATGCTCTTTGGGCCCCGGGGGCCCGGGCTTCCAGAGCGGTGTCCGCAGTGTAGGCAGCGGCCGGCTGCGGGGATCCCGCGACTGCGGCCGCCCTCACGGGATTGCGACGCCCGTTGGAAGACTGGGAGTGTGCGGAAAGAGTGGGCCATGGGGGTAGAGTGAGATCCTGGCCCGTGCTGGCGGTGTCACCGAGATAGAGCTTCACGACTGAGCTGTGAAGCCCACCGGATCCTGCTCCTAGAATGTCACCATACAGCAGCTTCTCCTTGTCCCCGCTCCTCAGTGTCAGTGACGGGGCTTTCCCCAGTAGATCTGAGAAAACCCTATTCTTTGGAGAGGGTGGATCAGTTTATCTTATAAATTTTCCCTTAATTGGCAGATAGGGAAACCGAGGTTCAAAGAAAAGCAAGAGACAAAACCTACTTTAGGGAGAAAAAAAAACCTACTTTAGAACCCCGCATTCGCAGACAGCTCACCGCCCCGCACCCCACAAGCCTGGCTTTGTCCGTGCACCAAACTGTTTCTACACCTTCAAAGAGGCCCTGCCACTTAGAAGTACTTTCTTTTCACAGTGTCAGAATTCTCCTTTCTTCCTTCCTTTTTTTCTTTCCTTCCTTCCTTTCCTTCCTTCCTTCCTTCTTTCTTTTCTCCTTCCTTTCTTCCTTCCAGCGGGCCTTCCAGTGTCGGAGGAAAACAGTGGATGAGAGTGAAACCTCCTGGTCCTTGTCTCTCACCTCAACAACAGACCCTTTGGTTTTATTTTCCCAGAAGCTAGACAGATGTGTCATTTCTTTTTATTTTTTTTTAACGGGGTCTCACTGTGTAACCCCGACTAACTCAGAACTCGCTATGTGCTTGTACAGACGTGTAGTGATTCTCTTACTTCTGCCTCCTCGGTGCTGGCTTACGGACCTGCACCGACACACCAGGCTCTGGAGGGTCTTTACTGGAACATCAGAGACCAAGAAAGCGATACACTGTAGTGATTGCTAGCATGGGCTTAGAAACAATTCTCCGGCTTGAATCCCTGCTCTTATAATTTACAGTGTGATGTTGGCAAGCTATTTATGTAATCTGTAGGTGCCAGCAGGCATGTTTTTGTGAAACCTACAACAAACGCATGTATAGGTAAAGTGGTGAGGATTATATCCAGAACACAGAAGACACTCCAGAAATATCATCCTTGTTGTTGCAGAACGGTGTGCTCAAGGCTGGCTCTGGCAGGCAGCCAAGTAAGGACTATAGAAGGCAGTTGGCATTCCCAAGGGCTGAACCTGGGCTCTCTCCTGGGTTCTGTCTCTGGTATTTCTCTCAAGGACTGGATCCCTTCGGGAGCATGGCCGAGAGGTCAAAACCGACATCGCTGGAAACCATAGCATCTGCTCCCTGGATCTAACCTACCTGAACAGCTGGAAGAAACCTTGAGAGGAGAGGGCAACTTTATAAAGTCCATCTGACGATGCCACATTAGCCTGCGTGCTGGCCTGGGACCCAGACTGCAGGGAGCTCAGAGAGCTCAGAGAGCTGAACAGAGCAAGGAAAAGGAAGTCTGTTGATGTTGGGTCATGGTCAGGGAAGGCTTCCGGATTTCCAGGTCAACAGGAAATTCTCAGTACATAACATGTGCCACAACAAAGAGTGGGGAAACCGCACATTTAAGCGGCATCAAGGAACGCACTAATAGGGAAGGTGGGAAAGCCAGGTATGATGAAGCAAGTCTGTAACCCAGCATTCTGGAGGCCAGGCAAAAGGACAGGCTTCAAGTGCCAGGTATAAAACTGGCCCTAGAAGGAGTACAGAGCGGGTAAAATTAAGGATCGCTTAGGGGGAATATAGGGGAGACGGGTGTCCATTAAAAATAAAGAAGAGATTTGGAAAAAAAATAAATGACCTCAGTTTACAAGTGCAGAAATATTGTATCCAGATTAGCCAGCTCCTGGAAGACCTCTATAGCACTAATTCAACCATAAGATGCAAGTCAAATCCATGACTGTGTTCATTTACCTTGAGAAATGGTAGCTGCTCAGAGGCCCAGAACACTCAACTGTAAAGTAATCACCTTCCTGGTAGGAAATATGCTTGGCAGAATAATTGTTTCTTAGTGAGTCAGAAGTCGCTGGTTAGCGATTAAATCTCTGCCCCCACTCCTCTTAATAGCTGGGTAAAGGAGGCCCATCGGTTAACCCCTCCTGGGCAAGAACTGTCATTCTTTTTTTAAAAGTTACTTTTTTAAAAAATTTTATGTCCATTAGTGTTTTGCCTGAATGTATGTCTGTGTGAGGGTGTAGAACCCCTGGAGCTGGAGTTCCAGGCAAGTAGGTGTGTGCTGCCTTGTGGGTGCTCTTACCCGCTGGGCCACCTCTCTGGCCCCATGAACAGTCATCCAGTCATTCTTACCACTTAACAAATACATTTTAAAATTAAAAACAAACAAAAAACCCAGGGACTGAAGAGATGACTCGGCAGTTAAGTATGCTTGCTGCTCTTGTAGAGGAACAGAGTTCAGTTCCCAACAGCCACATGGAAGCTCATAACTGTTTGTAACTCCGGTTCCAGGAGATCAGCACATAAGTGGTACAGCTGAAAACCAAAGAATGGACCAGGCAGGACAAAAACTTCAGGCAACAAATGGTCCCCACGTGGTCAACTGCATCCACATAAAGCCTGAGGGAGCTTGGGAAGTTATTCTAGACAGAAAACAATAGAGTTAAACATGGCTTATTGATAGAAGCATTTTCTCAGGTGGGATCTGCTTGCTAGAGGCAAGCAAGCACTCTCATTTAAGAGAGGTTTCCTGACTCAGCTTTAGCTGTAAAACCTTGTAGCTCTTTTAAGAGGTCCTGCCATGAAACACTTAAATGATGTTGATGAAAAGCTGACCACATGCTTTTTGGTTTTCAGCCATAGCAGGAAAAAGCCAAGCCATTTTGAAATGCCTGCTTTCTGGGCCATCCTGCCAACACAAACTCTGACTCTTTCATGCAGGCGGTCCGACTATGGAGCATTTGAGTGTGGTTTATGAGCACACTGCTGCAGCTTGCTTGCTGGCAGGAACCTCGAAACACCATAGAGTGGTGTGGCTACAGCCGGTACCTCCGCCATGAGTCTGGAATCTCAGAAAGCTAAAGAATGGGCTGGATCCAGCCGTCAAAGCCAAGGCTTTAATCCTAGCCATATCATTTAGCAAATTAAAGACTCATGTGGTCAGAAAAAGAGAGATACAGTAAAGATAGTTTCAGAAGAAAAAGCCTCTAAACAGGTTACAGTGTGTTTAAAAAGTATATGAAGGCTTGAGAGATAAAAGAAAAAAAGGTTAAAGTCCTTAAAATAAAAAAGAAAGAGAGTAGTTGGTTGTGGTGGCACACATCTTAATCCCAACACTTGGAAGACAGAGGCAGGCAGACCTCTGTGAGTTCAAGCTGTGGTAGCACATTCCTTTAATCCCAACACTTGGGAGGCAGAGGCAGACAGATCTCTATGGGTTCAAGGACAACCTAGTCTACAGAATGAATTCCAGGATAGCCAAAGATACACAGAGAAATACTGTCTCAAAAGCCATAAGTTAAAAATAAAAATAAAAGAAATAGAATTTAAAGTAAAGTCATGTAAAGATGGAAAGAAAATACATGGAGATTCTGGATACTGTATATTATGTTATCTTTGAATTGCTTGACAGCTGAGGAAGGAGCAACAGTTGCTAAAAGACATTTGAATATAAATGCTGCTGGATTAATAAAATATAAACATTTTGTAAATGCCTTGACTTCAAAGTTGAAGTCAAGGGCTGGAGAGATGGCTCAGAGGTTAAGAGCATTGTCTGCTTGCTGCGCTCAGCGCAGCCTGGATAGACTGGCGGGGGTGCTGGGATTGAGACACAGAGGCTTTGTTTCAAGTGGAAGAACAGCAACCTTTATTTTGCCCAGCAACCTTTTATACCTCTACTCCTTCTGTGGAGACCCACTGGCTAGAAAGAACACAAATATCCTTGTCAATTACAGAGCACAAGGAAGTTCCGCTGTCAGTCAGGGGGCGTGAGGGCAGCTGGATCACAACACTTGCTCTTCCAAAGGTCCTGAGTTCAATTCCCGGAAACCACATGGTGGCTCACAACCATCTGTAATGAGGTCTGGTACCCTCTTCTGGCCTGCAGTCATACACACAGCCAGAATATTGTATACATAATAGATAAATATTTTTTAAAAATTGAAGTCAAACCGGGCTGTGGTGGCGCACGCCTTTAATCCCAACACTGGGAGGCAGAGGCAGGCGGATCTCAGGGAGTTCGAGGCCAGCCTGGTTTACAAGAGCCAGTTCCAGGACAGGCTCCAAAACCACAGAGAAACCCTGTCTCGAAAAACCAAAAAAAAAATTGAAGTCAAAAAATAAGTTACTTTGGAGAAGAGGTTTTGCTTTTCTTTCCACAGAAAATAAGAGGCTATGGATTCTTTCTGGGCTAAGAAAAATCAGGTTTGATCAAGGAAGACCACCTGAGAAATTTCCAATAGGAACAGATGGCCCAGATGTCTGAGTTCTACATCCAGAACAGATTCAAGACTGCTGCCTGAAATGATCAAGCCTCAAAGAATACTCCATTCAGGACTTGATCATAATTTTAAATTTTCTTTAGGTCTCCATAAGATTATCAGTGCCCCAACCAGTAGGAAGTAGCCTGGAAAACTATGCCCATATTCCCAAAAAATGGACTATGGATATTTTCCATTGTTTGGAATGTTGGTTACAACTTGTTATGAATAATGGTCAGGAGAAAAGCTAAACAAAGGATATTAGATTCAGAGTTCTTGTTTGTTTTTTTAAAGAGTAGGAAGTGGTGCGGGACAATGATCTGTATTCTGTCAATTATATTTTAAATAAATGTTGATTGGCCAATAGCCAGGCAGGAAATATAGACAGGAAGTAGAGGTGGGTCA